TAATTAACAGCTTTAATCAAGGGCTCACTGTGTGCGAGGCACTCTTCTCAGCACTTTATATGTATTATTAATTCATTCTCTTGGCAAAGCAGCCTTCCCAGCAGGGTCTGCTTACCTCATCATTTTCCTCTCTTAAGATTAGGGAAACAAGCCCAGAGCAACATAGTGACTAGCATGGTCACTCATTTACTAATGGCAGAGCCAGGGCTTGAACCCCTGCAGCCTGGCTCCAGGGTCTGTGCTTTTTATTGCTACCTAACAAGTTCCAGAGACACAGTAAATTCACTGACCTTTTGTAAATGACTCAGTACCCTGTCCCCTGTGCCTCAGTTTCCTTGTCTGTAAGATGGGGCTTGATAACCATGGAGGAGTACCTGACATATGGTAAGCCCTGTGCAAATGCTGGGTCTCGTTACTGTTACACATTGTTCAGACATTAATTTAACCCTCTCAGCCCAGGTTCAGACCCCCAGTGCTGCCTCTTCAGCTGTTGTGACCTTAAACAAGTCATCTAACCACTCTGAGCCTTGGTTTATTGTAAAAAGACAGGTTCCTATGGAGTGTGGAAAAGGTCAGGACAGGAGTCTGGGAAGAGAGAAAGACCAGTTGTTCCTGCACTGGGTCAGGGCAAGGGCTTTTGTATGGGTTCACAGTAGACATCTTGTGCATGTCAGGTCAGTGGTTACTGTATGGTGTGAAGCCAGAGGTTGCAGGACAGTGTGAAGACAGATTTCTGTATGGCGTGAAAGCAAGTGCCTGTACGGATTGAGCACCTGTGGTTGTGAGGATTAAGCGCATTAGTATTCATGAAGTACTTAAAATAGGGTCTGGGACACAGCAAACAATTAATGTCAGCTGTTACTAATGCTATATCAGGCCGGGTGCGGTAGCTCACGCTTGTAATCCTAGCATTCTGGGAGGCCAAGGTGGGCGGATTGCTCGAGGTTAGGAGTTCGAAATCAGCCTGAGCAAGAGCGAGACCCCGTCTCTATTATAAATAGAAAGAAATGAATTGGCCAACTAATATATGTAGAAAAAATTAGCCGGGTATGGTGGCGCATGCCTGTAGTCCTAGCTACTCGGGAGGCTGAGGCAGAATTGCTTGAGCCCAGGAGTTTGAGGTTGCTGTGAGCTAGGCTGACACCACGGCACTCACTCTAGCCTGGGCAACAAAGCAAGACTGTCTCAAAAAATTTTTTTTAAATAAAAAAAAAAAAACTAATGCTATATCAGCATTGTTACCTTGCACTTTACATCACAATCTACCTCCCCACAACCACCACCTCACAAAACAGGTGCTGCCCATCTGACAGGTGTTTCCCATCTAACAGGTGTTTCTACTTGCGTGTTCCCAGTACTTCCCACCACTCCAGACTCCAGACTTGCAGGGCTGGGGGTGGGGGGAATTGAGGAGGCAGGACATCTCGCCCTCCAAATTCCCTGATGAACCCCCACCACCCCTTTCCCTCCCCTTTTCCTTAACAAAGGGTGGCTATAACCTGACATCCATCTCTGAGTCCATGGCTGCCTGCACCCGCTCCCTCCTTGGAGACCCACTACCCCTGTTGGCCCTGTCACGGCCCCCATTATCAGGGGCCCTGGCCTCAATCACTGAGACCATCCAAGTCCATCGCAGATACTGGCGCAGCTTGCGGGTCACAAGTGAGTGAATGTGGGGAATTGGGGGGGGGGATCCAGGGAAGGAGGCAGGAAAGGGGATAGCGCCCACACTCAAGGATCTCCCTCCATGGTTCCAGAAGTAGAAGACAAGGAGGCACTCTCCAGTTCTAAGTCAGTCACCAAGAAGGCACCCCAACCAGCCAATCCTGGGCCAGCTGAGGGGATGACCACACCAGAAGAGAAAGTTCTGGAAGCAGGCATGGGGACAGCCACCCCAGCATTATCTGCGGAAGAGTCCACCCCAGGCCAGACCAAGTCAGAGATAGCTGTGGTGGTGCTCACTCAGGACCAGTCCTCAGAGGCAGCCAAGGGGAGAGCTGGGCTGGGCCAGACCACTGCAGAGCAGGCTGTGGGGGGAGCCACTCTGGACCAGACCACCTCGGAGGAGACTGTGGGAGGAGCCACACTGGGCCAGACCACCTTAGAGAAGGCTGTTGGGGGAGTCACGCTGGACCAGGCTACCTCAGAGGAGGCTGTAGGAGGAGCTTCGCTAGACCAGACCACCTCAGAGGCAGCCATGGAGGGAGCCACTCTGGACCAGACCACCTCAGGGGAGGCTATGGGGGGTGCCCAACTGATCCAAACTCCTCTAGCCTCATGCAGAGACAGCCAGAACCCCCCAACTGCACCTGTGCAGGGGGCCACACCCCAGATATCCCCCAGTAAGCTGATTGGGAGCCTCAGGACCTTGGAACTAGGCAACAAATCTCAGGTAAGGCCCACCACACCCAGGAAGGGGGAAGAAGGGGCCCAAATCGGGCCTTTCTGATACATCTTGTGCTCCTTGTGTCCAGGAGGACCCAGACTCTCAGACCCCAGAAGAGGAGAGCATACTTGGAGAGGCAGCTGGAGGTCAGGACATGGATGATTTGATTCTGATGCAGAGATCTGGGAACCTTACTGACACTGATCAGGTGAGCTCAAGGAGAGGCTGGAACTATGGCTTCCTTCTCTTGCCCATTTGTGTCTCCATGTAGGAGCATGTGATGTAGGAACATGGAATGGGGAGATGGTGTCCCCAGCTTACTTAGTTTCACCCACCACAGGCCATGTTTTATGCAGTGACACCACTGCCCTGGTGTCCCCATTTGGTGGCAGTATGCCCCATACCTGCAGCAGGCCTGGATGTGACTCAACCTTGTGGGGACTGTGGATCACTCCAGGAAAATTGGGTGTGTCTGTCTTGCTATCAGGTATGGAGCAGAGGAAGGGTATGGGGTAAGGTTGGCCCGTGAGCAGACTACAGGTGGGTGCTGACCCCCACCTGACATTTACACCCCAACCTCAGGTCTACTGCGGTCGTTACATCAATGGCCATATGCTTCAACACCACGGAGACACTGGACACCCGCTGGTTCTCAGCTACATTGACCTGTCTGCCTGGTGTTACCATTGTCAGGCCTATGTCCACCACCAGGTGGGCCCTGGACAGACCCTTTAACATGCACACACTCACCCCTACATGCCCCTTCTCTGATGGGATAAGGGGAGAACTCGGACCCCTCTGTATGGCTGCCTCGTGTGATTATTTTGTATGGGGCAGGGGCTGTGGGCTAGTCTAGGAGCCAGAGTGGTTGGGGCCTAGAGTGGGGGCAGCCTTCTGTCCCAGGTCAAGGGGTCCTCACTCTCTCTCACCTACCCTGTTCTTGCCTCCTCCTCAGGCTCTCCTAGATGTGAAGAACATCGCCCACCAGAACAAGTTTGGGGAAGACATGCCCCACCCACACTAAACCCCAGACCACTGCGCTCTCTCTTCTCTACCTCCTGAGGCCCAAGATAGACCAGCTATAGTTCATTCCAACCTGACCCTTGGATGAGGGGTAGCTTCCCACTCCATTCCATCCTGAATATCCTTTGCAACTCCCGAGAGTGCTTATTTAAGTGTAAATACTTGTAAGAGGACTACACTGATCACTTGGGTGATCAGTTGTAGATCTGTCCGTGCCCACTACCTGCTTGAGGGATACCACTACTCCTTCCAAGAATGAAAGGGGAGCAGCTCAGTGGCCCCAAGAGGGGGATGATATCATGAGGGTAACATTGGAGGGAGGGGGGTCAACTGGCAGGTATGGCAGGGTTACATATGTAATAAAGGATGACCTGTTAAAAACCTGAAGTCTTTTAACTTTGAGTAGGTGGAGAACCCCACATCCCTGGCCAGTCAGGCTGATGAGTAATGAAGGAATACAGGAGTGGGTCTTATCAGGTTACCCCCCTGCCCATCCACTGCCCCAAAAGCTAACTGAAAATAGAGCAGGCAGCTTGCCTGGTTCTCCTGGCAATAAAACAGTAGAATCCTTGAGGAAATGAGTGATTGTTTTAGAAATAGGGGCCTCACAGCCAGTCCCAGCCACACCCTAGGCTGAGAAGACAAGGAAACTAGCAGGAAGTAGCCTCACCAGGCCTCAGTTTCTCCAACTGTCTCATTGGCCTGATTGGGGACAGGGTGGGAAGTCTAGGTTTTCCTTGCATGTGGTGGTCATAGGTAGCTTCTTGTGGGTAATGAGTATCTGCTATTGACCAGAGGTGGGAAGTTGTAGGACAATTGCCAAAGTAATTCTCATCCGAGCTAAGGTTTCCGGGCCTTTTCTTCATGGTTGCTTTATGATCCCAAACTGACCACCTGAGCACCACCCGCTCAAGAAGAAGTGGAATAGGGAAGAGCAAGAGAGTGTCAGCCAAGCCCTTTTAAGAGCCCCCTGGATGCCCCACCCAAGAGCCCCTGATTATATATACCTCACTGTCCAGAGCTGAGCCATGATTTCTGTAGCTGCAAGGGAGTCTGGGAAATTTTTAGCTTGACAAACCACCTCAGATCAGGTAGGTTCCTTCAGACCTGACCACTCTTTCCCTCCAGGAACAGGCACGATCCTCTCGGGGGCTACCAAAAAGCCTGGTTGAAGTGCCACGGGCTCCATGGCCTCAAAGAGATCCCCACAGAACGTTTTCAAAAGTCTGGCCATTCAAGGCAAAATCTGACACACCTCATACACACGGACACACACACGCACAAACAGGAAATCCCATCCCAAACAGGTGCAAGGCCAGGGAGAGGCGCCCCGGGGCAACCGGAGGTCTGGCCGCAGGGCACTCACGTGCCTGTGGGCTAGGGGCGAGTGGCGCCTAGGGCGTGACCCTGTGCTGGGGCAGGGGCACAGCGTGGCGGGGGGTAGGGGGCGAGCGGCAGGGAGGGCGCTGCGCATGCCCACTGCCCCTGCCGCCACCGGGGGTCTGGGGAGCCGCTTCGCCCCGTTAGTCCTGTCGGAGCTGCCGGCCGAGTCCCAGCACACCCGCCTCTCCCGGAACACAGGTGAGCGGGCTACCCGGGCCGGGGGTCTTCCCGCTCTGGCTGTGAAGGTGTGAGGGGACCCTTCTCCGGCGCCTTCCCTCCTGGGAGCAACCCCTCAGCGCCTGGCTTTGTGAGGGTGTCCGCGCGGGGCGGGAAGCGGGGCCGCCTCACCCAGACTCGGGATGGGTTGCGAAAGGGCAACTGGGCCGCACTCTTCACACTAAGCCCGAAGTGCAGTCACGGTTCAGGGGTCCCCTCGCCACCTCAAGCGTTACCCCTCACCTGGCTTCGTCAGGGAGAGCGCGACCCAGCTGGGGAGCCCAGGCTGCCCCAATAGCCGGGCCCTGGCCCTGCAGCGCCCGCCACCACAAGTGACCCTGCCTTACTAGAGCACAGGGCTGGACCCCCGTTCTGTGGCGTCTCTTGCGGGCTGTGTGACCTCGGACCAGTCCGGGTCACCTCACTTCTCCAAGCCTCGCTATTGATCGCGGGCAAAGCGGGCGTCATGACGAGACCTCGGCCGCCCCGGGGTGGGTGGCAGGCGGACGGGGTGAGTGTGAGCCCGCAGGCGACCACCGGGGTAGGGCCTGCCTTCCTCCTGCTCTTCATCACACCCCTCCTCACGGGTCCCCCTCCCCCACCCGATGGTACCCCAGCTTTCCAGCCTCGCAGGCCCCAAACTCGGGAGTCGTCCATGACCCCTTCCCTGCCTCTCAATCCCTAAAGATGGCCGGGCTCGTTCTCCCTCAGATTATACCAGAATCCAACCTACCACTCCCCTATGTCCTCACAGCTAGGGCTTCTCCCTCTGTCCCCAAAGGGATAGACTTTAGGGACCCCCAAAACTCTATCCTCTGCATACTTCTCTATCTGGCCCCCCTCTTTCTGGGCAGCATTCCAAGTGACCATTTTCAGCGATCCCTCGGGGTTGGGGACCCCCGGGCTGGATCCCCACCTGAGATCCCTTCCCGCCCCCACCAACCACCTGTGGAGTCCGCCACCTGTGGAGCCCACCATCTGCGCCAATCTGCCTCTGGTCCCCAGCGGGGATGTTGTGGTAACTAAGCACAGGTGGCTATTGTGGTGCACTAAGTAGGGGCATTTCCTGAGCCCAAGAACCTGGAGTTGCATTCAATGAGTTAATGGGGATGTGCTGCTAATAAGTAACACTAATTGAGCACCTGCTGTGTGCCCATCCTCTTCTAACTTGCAACTTCCTTGTTCCTTATCTTGTTATTGTCTCCTTCACACTGCCAGGATCTAATCCTCACCAGCGCAGGGATGTGAGTCTGTTTTGTTAACTCCCATACCACAACGTCAAGCATGCAGGAAGTTTCTTGAATGGGTGAATGAGGATTAAATGATAATTAAAAAGCCTAACAATAACCGAGCACCTTCTGCAAGCTTACCACCTATTCCTAAAATATATTTTACTTATTTATCTTGTTTGGTGTCTGTCACCCCAACCACAATGTAATGTTCACAGGGGCCAGGCTTCATTGTCTATTTCTTGCCCACCTCTGTGTCGTTGCCACACAACAGGTTCTCAATAAATATGTGTTGAGTAACTAATAAAGACTAAATTCTAATGATAATGGCTAGCACACTGATTTATATATTTATTTGGTTGACTGTATGCTGTTTCTCTCTTTTAGAGCATAAACCCACTTTTAGAGCACAAACGCCCAGGGGGTGGGAATGTTTTGAGCACATTCTGTCTCGCAGGTGCTGGGCTGGGCTGGGGTTCAATGGTGATCAAAACAGGCAAAATCCCACCCTCCCTCCACAATGGGGAGAGACTGCTAATAGGGATAGAGATTCTCTCCTGGGGTGAGGAAAATGTTCTAAAATTCGATCATGGTGATGGTTGCACAACTCCGTGAATACACTTAAATTCATTGAATTGTACGTTTTAACGGGCTAAACTTTATGGGATTTAAATTACATCTCAAAGCAGTTTGGGAAATCCTACAGTTTAAGTGGTAGGTAGAAGAGGGAAGGGGGAGGGAGGGAGGAAGAAAACTACATAAATTATGTATATTGAATGCATATTAGAAGGTGATCAGCACACAATAGGCACTCAATAAATGTTGATCCAATGACACCCTGCTGTCTCCTTACTCCCAAATAGTCTCCCCCAACCCTTTGTCTCGCTGCTTTTCCCCACTTGCAGGGCTTGCTAGCCACATCTCTCCCCTGAGCTGTGTGCTGACGACATGGAGCTGCCTACTACAAAGTGTGGCACCATCGACCTGGGCCTGGGCACATGGAAGCTTACCTCCCTGGAAGACAGCCACCATGCTGGAGCACGCCGCAGGGATGGTGGCAAGAAGATGCCCGAGTACAAGGCAGTGGTGGTGGGTGCAAGTGGCGTGGGCAAGAGTGCTCTGACCATCCAGCTGAACCACCAGTGCTTTGTGGAAGACCATGACCCCACCATCCAGGATTCCTACTGGAAAGAGTTGGACCTAGAGCACGGGGGCTGCGTTCTGAACGTGCTGGACACCGCAGGACAGACCATTCATAAGCCCCTGCGTGACCAGTGCCTGGCTGCTGGTGATGGTGTGCTGGGCGTCTTCGCTCTTGATGACCCCTCCTCGCTGGTCCAGCTGCAGCAGATTCGTGATGCTTGGGGCCCTCACCCCAGCCAGCCTCTTGTCCTTGTGGGAAACAAGTGTGATCTCGTGACTGACACCGGAGATACTCATGCTGCTGCTGTAGCCCTCGCCCAGAGCTGGGGAGTACCCTTTGTGGAGACCTCAGCCAAGACCCGGCAAGGTGTGGAGGATGCCTTTTCCCTGCTCCTCCATGAGATCCAGAGGGTCCAGGAAGCCATGGCAAAGGAGGCTGTGTCGCGGTCAGGTGGGAAGCACCATAAGACCACCTGCCGCTGTGGCTGCTCTGTGGCCTGAAGGTCTCAGTCAACAAAAGCAGACCCTCCCCTAGGTCAGGGTGATGTTCCCTTGATGTGAGACCCCTGAAGCAACTAGCTGCATGGGATACTGTCTGTACTGGAGATGGATGGACACCGCTTTCATTTTCACTTGGTGAGGGGCTTTTTGTTAATGTAGGGTGTCTAACATTTATGTTATATCAAATTGAGAGGTCTTGTGCAAAATTAAATGTGTTCTTGAGTTTCAAAGCTGCCTCGATGCCAAGTGGTGTTATTGGGTGGGAGTGAGACTGGGTAGAATGCTACTTGAATTATGAGAATTCTTTCATTTGAGTAACTGGGGGAAAGCCTACTATGTGCCAGGCCCTGCTTTGGGTACAAGGGATGTGGAGGCAAACGAGACACTTAAAAGAACCTGCCCTTGCAGATAAAACATCTGGCTATGTATTAAAGGCAGGTGAAGGGATAGAGTAACAGGGAGGTCAAGGAAAGACTTAATGAGTCAGGTGACATTTGGGCAAAAACTTGCAGATATCCAGCCAGGGGCAGAGGGAACAGCAGTGCAAAAGCTGTGGCCACAAACCAGCTGCCACCACAGGAACTCCCAAAATCTTTAGGGCCTGGGCAAGAGAACAGACAGGCCTCCATACTGTATAACTAAATATTTAAACATTACAAACCAAGCTAACAAACGTAAACAAAATGCGGCTTCTCCTACCCTACCTTGACAAATACATTTTCTTAACAGCCTGGATGTCCAGGCTGTAGTTTCTCACACTCCTCAGAGTTCCCTACCAGAATGTGCCTGTGTCAGGAGAGCTGACCCCCAGCCTGCAACCCACTCCCTTTTTCTCCCTAGCCTCCCCACATCAGGCAGTGCTCCTGCCTGCCTGTGGATGCCCAGTCAGCACCTGGGGGGCTCTACTCACATGCCTCACAGCCACCCCTAGACCCACCCTTGGCCCTCAGGGAAATGGACCCTGGAGGATGCCAGTGCAGGCCCTGAAAGTGGCCTCAAAGCCTCCTGGGCTCCCCATACCCAAGTGAGGCATAGAAGGGGGACACAGGATCTGGTGGACACTGCCATTGTCCATGTCGGTGCCTCTGCCTGATACCCATGAGGAGAAGCTTAGATAAGCAGGGGGTATCTCTAAAGGGCAGGACCCAGGGCAGGGGCCCCTCTGCCCTACTCTAAAGGTGGCCACCTCCCAGCACCACTCCCTAGAAACTGCCACTCACACAGACAAGCACAGAGCTGCTTCAGATTGTGTTTATTGTGGGGCCAGGTGGTGGGGACCTTGGGGTGAGAGGGTAGCCACAGGCTGGCCACCAGAGTAAGCTACTCTGAAGGTGCTGGCGGGGAGCAGCCTGGGTGGTGGGGTGGCAGGGGTTCTCCTGGGTCCCAGGGCACGTGGAATTCGGAAGGCGCTCAAGGAGGCAGGAGGCGGCGTGCGGGTGTCTGGGGCACGGGGGTCTCCAGGCGTTTTACGCGCAGCAGCGCCCCCAGCAAGCCCTCAGGGGGCACCTCAGGGCCCGGGTCCTGGTCGGCTGCGCGGCGGAGGCGGTGCGGGGTAGCCACAGCCTCGGGATCCCCGCTTCCTGCGAGGATCCGACCCAGCAAGTACCTGCAGGGCCAAGCAGAACGCAGTGATGTGTCCGCATATCACCGCCCGCCCTAGGACCCGGGAGACACAACCACACAACTCCATACAGCCCGGGACGGGGATCTCCGGCTCCCTCCCCATCCAACTGTCCCCAAGCCACTGCTTTCTATAGACATATGTCCCTGCCTCACATCCCATAAACTATGACTTAACCACCTCCCTCTTCAGCCAGAAACGGCATCAGCCCCCCTCCCCAGGACCCGGAGTCTATGTCCCACACTGTGTCCCCAGCCAGGCATCTTTGCCCCCCAACCCCGATCCAGGATCTCACTTCCTCCTAGGGTCCCAGAACCCCTGCCTCTCCCCAGGACTCAAGCGTTCGCCCCTCCACCTGTGCCTGTGAAGCAGGCCTTCTCCCTAGTCCTACAGGACACAGGTGCCCGCTCCCTCCCCTCGACCCTGCCCTGCACCTCAGCAGCTCCGGGTCCACTTCAGGCGTCTCGTCGCCGGCGTCCTCCGCATCTGTGTCCGTGGGGCCATCGTCGTAGATTGGGGGCCGGGGTCGGAACGCAGAGGCAGGGGCGGGCGCGGGAACGAGCTGGGCCGCGAGGGCGGCAGGATCGAGGCGGGCGCGGAGCAGGGCGCGGGCGAACTGCGCCGCGGGCGCGTCTGGGTCGTCGTCCAGGCCCAGAGCGGGGTCTGAGGCGCGGGGAGCGCCCCAGACGCGCAGCAGCTGCGCCAGGACACGTGCCTGCTGATCCTCAGCCTCCTGCGCCTCTGCCCGCGCCCGCTCCTGCCGCTCAGCTTCCAGCAGGTGCGCCAGCGCCCGCGCCAGCTCCTGCACCGCACCCGCTGCCTCTCCGCTGGGCACTGTCCGCCGGAAGCGGCGGGGAGCGGCAGCCTCAGCCATGGGTGGCGACGCAGCGCTCAGGCCGCGGGGCTCCTGCGGGAAGATGAGATGGGAGAAAAGAAGTCGTCAGCGTCCGTTAGGCCTGGGACACCCCCAACCAGGACGCCACCAAAGGCACCATAGCCCCCCAAATATACCCAGACACCCCTAAGGCCACTGGGAAAGCCCCAGATATCTCCAGACACACGTAAGAACCACCAAAGTCTGCTAGACACCGCTACCCCACCCCCAGTGAAGCCTTAGTGACTCCCAGAACTTTCTCCCGGGCCTCTGAAGACCAGGTTTCTTTACAGGAATGATGATGGCCGATATGACAGCTATAGATTTTTCTATATTAATATTGTGGACAACAGGAGTCTATATGAATAACCTGTTCATATATCATTTGGTATGTGTGCAAGTTTATGTGTAGAATAAAATTACACAATTACAAATTTTCAGTTTGTGCAGTTTTGAAACAATTTCCATAAATTTAAAGAAATAAATGAGGGTACCAAAAGTATGAGCAAGGAAAAAAACTATAAAAATGACCATGAAGATATGAAAAAGAAACATACAGGACATACAGTAATATGTTTAAAAGAAAAGATGCCTGCAACATAAATAGTTAATAAAAGATTAGTGTACAGAATATACAAAGAATTCCTAAAATGCAATAAGAGAAAAACAAATTAATATAGAAATGGACAAAATACATGATCACATATTTCACAAAAATGGTTATTAAACATATGAAAAATAGTCAACCTCATTAGTAATCAGGGAAAAGCAAATTAAAAATGCCAGTGAGATACCATGCATAATACATACAAAATATTGCCCCAAATCAAAGCTCTGATAATATCAAGTGCTGACATGAATATATAAAAATGGTAACTCTGATACTTTTCTGTGGGAGCTAAACCAAAATAATTTTGAAGAGCAGTTTCAAAAAAATTTTGAAGAACAGTTTGACAATGTCTAAAAAGATGCACATATCCTATTAACCACCCCTGGAATGCTACACCCCAGAGTAGCTTTTGCACATACACTACTGGACATGATTTCAGGAAAGATTACATCAGCACTGTTCATAATCACATAAAAGTGGAGGGAGAAAGAAAAGCCTAGAAACAACCAATGTCCACTGGCAATTTGAGAATGCATGTATAAGCCATAATCTACTCATAAGATATAATATTAGGCAGCAATATAAATAAATGAACCAGAGCCACACATTTCAATAGGGATGAATCTCTTGACCAAAGCAGAGCTAAAAAAAAAAAAGGAAGTTCCAGAATTCTTCTGCAGACTGCCTGAAACTACCAGACACCCCAGGACTTCCTAGTGATCCCTGGTGACTAGAGGAGCCAGTCACTCAATATGATTCCATTTCTATGATATTCAGAAGCATGAAAAACTAAACAATAGATTGTTTCGAGATATACACATATGTGATAAGCTACAAAGTAAAGGATCAATGGACAGAAAGGAGAGAATAATGATGAGTGGGGAAGGGTGCTGTGTGGGGAGGGGCACACGAGGGGCTTCTAACTATTGGTCATGCTCTATTGCTTAAATTGAGTGGTAGGTACACATGGGGGGGTTATTTTATCATTATTCTCTACGTTATACACATATGCTAAATACACTATTTTATATATATATATATATATACTATTTAACAATTTTTAAATGCCCCATCCTTGATGCAGACAGCCCTGAAGAGCTAGAGGAGGATGCTGCTCCAAGTGCCCTTGCTTGGCACCCACCACCCCTCAGCCCCTGGGGAATCAAACTCTCACCAGCAATCACAGCCTCACACACTGCTCACTCAGACTGACAGGTCTTGAGATGTCACACATGCAATCCAACAGTGCCACAACCACCTGCAAGGAACTACACCCATTCACACCCACGACTGCTCATGCAGTCACACTCACCAAGCTACCCAGGTACAAGGACACACCACCCTTAAAGACACAATGCAGCAGGAGACATCATGGCTCCCCTCCCCCACAATGACACAGCTCCACAAAGAAACACAGAGAAAGAGCCTTATGAACCCACACAAAATCCCAGCACTCAGTCCAACAGAACCAACAAGGCATCTGCACACGGAGATGTAAAGACCACTCCTTCCCAAACAAAAACACACAGACACACAGAACAACACGCCCATAGACCACGCCATCACACTTGAGGATTCACAAGTACACACGATGTCACTGAGAAAACAATTGAGCCCACAAAAAAGTCGCACACAGAAGCACTTCCAGTATCTCCAGTATCGCACACAGCACCCACCCGAACACACAACAGCACCTTTGTAGGACGCCTGGAAGCGGTCAAACTTAAGGACACACACTTACACACACGACAGCCCTACACCGCTGCCATCCCATCACAGGCACACATACCGATGCGCGCACATCCTTCCTTAATGCGCCCTAGTGCCATGGACAGCACCACAGGCAGCAGGCAGGGCAAGGCCAGGTCAGGCCCAGGGTGCGGAGGGGTAGGCAGGGCGCGGCTACTGACTGAGCCCGGGACAATGCCACCCGCACACGCAGAGACCGGGCCCAGTCTCAGGTGCGCTGGCACTGCCTGGGCGCGGACCGGTGGCCCTGGCCACCCCTGCCGACCTCTCCGCCAATCCCCCGAGCTGGCTCCAGCGAGGATGAGGCAGCCCGGCCCCAACCCTCGCCCTCAGCATCACATCCCTACCCCCACCTCGCGCTGGGCAGGGATCGCACCTTTCCTGGCCGTGCGCAGAGTGTGTGGGGCGGCCGAAGGAGGCCCAACAGCAGCAGCACCAAAAGGCCGACGCCCCCG